CAATGAGATGAACAAGGCATGCACAATGCAATGATCAATCATGCGACAACATGGCATATTCAATGCTATGAACTACAATGGCATACTCAATGCAAAATGGACTTAAACCAAAATGGGTGGGCCTCAGCCACACCTAAATCAATGGCCAATAGGTGATGGAAATAAGGCACCAAAACACATATGATCATGCACAGTGCAACGGCCCCAAGTCTAAGGCACGAAACACAACTTTCCAAACACATTCAAAGGATGAAATATGGAGTGCAATGACACATGTTTCAGCTCTAAAATGGCATATAAAATGACTTCAAATTATGCAAACAACTCATGTAATGCATGTTGAATGGCTCAAGCATCGAAACTAGTGAAGTGTATTACACAATAGGCATGCAAGGAAAGCATCTTTCGACCAAGAGGCCTTAAAACAGAGCTAAGGCGGCCCAAAATATAAACAAAACCAGGTTGGAGCATGGCTAAAATATGCTAGAATAGAGGGCCAAAACATCATGCATTCTAAGCTAGTAAACATGATTTACACTACAAGCATATAAAGCATGTGAGAGGATACCAAACCAGCCAAAAACAGAGTCATGGCATGCCAAATGATGACCAAAAACCCATTGAAATATGACCAATACATGCAAGAATGACATGCTACTTTGATAAGCCACAAAAGGGATTACTTTACACATGCAAGAGGCAAACCCAAGGTGACCAAACTAGCCATAGACAGAGTCTAGGCAGGCCCTAAAAGTCACCAAACGTGCCTGAACCGAGCCTTGAAAGTATGAAAACATATGCTCCTTTGATAGGCAAAAAATGCAAGCAAATAAGACCAAGAGAGAGAGGGTCACCCCTCTCTGATTTAGGGCCTCAAAACTACATGCCAACCATTGAAAATCCACTAGATTTCAGTGGCTAAAAGGCCATGCAAGGGTTAACTTAAAGGCCTTATGGCATGGCACAAAACAAGGCCAAATAGGGCATGCAAGAGGGAAGATGACCCTCAGCACCAAAAGGGCCTTAAACAAACATGAAAAAAACTTAAATATGGAGCTTTTTTCAGTTGACAACAAAGCTCAAATAAGCATGGAAGTATGGCTAAGAGTGTGATCAAGACAAAGCTTAAAAAGAGAGAGGAGATTACCCTTGAAGCTCAGCAAAACCAGCAAGTTCCTCAGCCAAAAACCACCCTTTTAACCTCCAAAAATAACCTCTAGGAACCTCAATTCAATGGTAAGGATGTATGGCTAAGAGTTGGGGTGTTAAAGGTCAAGAACAATACACACTTTTGGCTCAAAATATAGAGATATAGAGAGAGATATGTGTTTGTGCCTTAGGAAATTTTCAGAACCTCTGGAATGGAGAGGGAGCCCCTCTCTTATAGAAAAAACAAAGGTTCAAGCTTCTTGGAGAAGCTAAACATGGATGCAATCCCTCCATACACGTGTATGGAGGATACAGTCTGTGCCCTCCAGCTGGCACAGCTGGCATCCACACAGTCTAACAAAACAGGGGGAAAGGGGCTGACCACTTAAAGTGGTCGGCCTGCTACTTTAAGTGGTCGGCCGACCACCCAAAGTGGTTTCCCAGGAAAAAAAGTGGTCGGCCAGGGGAATTGGTGGTCTTCACACTGAAAGCAAGCCAATTGTAGGGTGGGAAACCAGAAAATGTGGCCCAAAGACCAAGAAAACCAGTTTTCCGACCAGAAAACTGGCTGGCTGGGAGAAAAGTGGTCTCCAAGGAAAAAAGCTGGTTTCCCACCCTTGTACCACTTCCCAAACATGGAAATCAAGGTTTGTACCCAAGACAAACCAAAACAGATGCAAGACGAGGGTTCGGGAGGTAAGACGCGCGGCCGGAAGCCCCGAAAACTGGCTGTTGAGCACAAAAAGTGGCGTATGACCACAAAAGTGGTCTCCCGGACCACAGTGTCCCTCTAGACAAAGGAAACAAGGTGTGTTCCAAAAAAAACGTGCCAAACAGAGAATGTTAAGCGGTCCCTAACCGAGGCGCACGGCCGACGACTCCGAAAACTAGTCTCCAAACGGGAACAGTGGCCTACGACCAGGAAAAGTAGTCTACGACCACTGAGAGATGGTCTACAAGACCCCTCCCTCCCTCCGGGAAGAGAAAACAAGACTTAGTCTGCAGACCGAGTCAAAGTACAAAGGGTCCCGAGGTCCGGAGGCGAGGCTCTCAGCCAAGAACTCCGAAACCTCGAAACGAGCACAACATGCACAATCACTGAGCGCTCAATCGATGACGTCTGAGTCTTAAGGTCGGTCAAAAATGGGGTGTCTACACATGTGAGATAGACGTCAACGTACCTCCAACATTCATTGGGGAGGCGGTGAATCTGTTTTAAGAAAACTGTGTATACCACAGGTTTCAGTTTGTTTCTTTTCTTGTCATTTGTTATTTAATTTTTCAGAATTTATTTTACCTTGACGAATTCTAATATTTAGTTATTCATGTTAATAATTTGCTCTATTAGTCATTTTGTTTATGTGAGATTCATGAAGTAATCCAGTTCATTCCTATATTTTTAGTTTTGTAATTTATTCTATATTTTATTCTTTAATAAAAAAATTATTTTGTTATTTCTATTTAATTTTATTTTTTATAATTTTTTAATATTATTATGAAAAAATACCAACACAAATCACAAATCTGCTGACCCACCTATGAATACGATATGAACTTCTTTTATTAAATAAATATACTTACTTTCTTTGTCAACCATCAAAAACCTCATTGTGATCCCATGACAATCTTTAACAATTGAAAGCAATTCTTTTTTTCTTGTTTTCAAATCTTGGAGTGAATTAAAGAGGAAAAAAAAGACTACAACCTCTCATTTAAAAAATAAAAAAGAAAATATTCATAGTGACATGACAAGTTATAAGTTATTTTTTAATTTGTCACAAATTCAATTATATAAAATCCAAATTCTTAACATGTCATTGTGATTGAATTTGAAAATTTAAATTTTACATCTCTAATATTTATTTTATCCAAGTGTTATAATGGAGAAAAATATTCTCATTTTTATAATTGACAAAATCTATACACATAAGAAAAAGGAACTTTTTAAGAACACTGATTGTGGGATATAGTGATTTCGATTTTGACCAGACCCATTTGATGTTTTGGACTTGGGTTTTATGGTTTCCATATGTTGTTCATATCCTTTTCCCTTTATTCTTACTTGAGTTTGGCTTTGAGTCAGTTGAAGCATGTTTGAAATAGGCTGGTTGCTTAGTTTTCAAATCCTTGTTGCCCAGATTTTTGCTCTTCCGCTTGAGCGGCACTTCTTGCGCTGGAACGGGCTTTGCGAACTCTTAGTATTTTTGTAGGTCTGCAAAAATACTGGGAGGGTGTATTCTACGCTCAAGCGGGCTCAGTTCGTGTGGCCATTTTTTGCACTCGAGCATTGGCCTATTGTCTGTAAAACTGCTAGATGTGTGTGTTCTGCGCTCAAGCATCACTTCTTGCTCTAGAGTGGAACAACTTATTGTGTCTGACGCTCGAGCGTCAACTCTTGCGCTCAAGCAGACTGTGTGTATAGCAGTTCATGACAGCCAAATTTCTTATCACTTTTTCATCTCTTTCTCTCTCTAAAACATTTCAAAACCCTAGATCTTAAGCTTCTCTTTCTAGAACTCACATTCTCTCCACTTTTTCGCCTAGATCCATTGGGTTCTTCACTCTAGTACCTTTGAGAGAAAGGTAGAACGTCTCAAGATCTTCATTTTGATCCGAGCAAAGTTGGGTTTGAGCATCTTTGGAGTTTCATCCTTGCCTTACTCATCTTCTCTCTTTGAGGTAGGGATTTCTACACTTTCATATAGTTTTTAACTTAGTTATTTGATGATTGTATAACAATGGTGGGCTTTGGGTATATTATGGACAAACCTAAGGTTTGGGTTGTAAAATCAAAAGAGTAGTTTCTAAGTGTATGTTGTGAAAATGGTTATGAGGTTAAATATACCTCTGACAGTTTGGTCGGGTCCAGTCCGTGCCGGATCGGTGCGACACCGAGTGGCGGTTGCATGCGACTGATAGACGTGGCCGAGCCGGCACTGACTAGAGTGTGTATCATATGCAATACATATAGCTGTGGGTAGGGGTGTGCATAATACCGCCGAAACCGCCAAAACCGCACCGAACCGCACCGCCAAGGCAAATTCATTATTATTTGTCAATCGAACTGCCGGTTTTTGGTAAGAAAAATGGCAAATTCTAGTGACACTTTTATCAATCCGCCGGTTTCTATTTTTCTTCCAAACCGCCCTGACCCGCACCGCTATTAAATCATGTTTTATAAAATTTTAAAAATTCTTTTTTACTTAAGTTTGCTTGTTGTTCTATACCTTAGAATATAGTATTTCATTACTGCTCGAGAGGAATTCAAGATGTCAGTAATCCAAAATAAAGTTGAATTCCAATTCACTTTTCAATCTTATTTTTTTCTGGCCATGTTGCAAACTTGCATCAGCTCACTTTTCAATCTAAATACTTTTCAACAGTAAACATTTTCAAAATATTGTAAACCCTGAATGATATGTATTGTATTTGATCATTGTAGCTTCCACAGATGCTTGTAATGAACTGATGGCATTGTCGTTGATATTATCATGTTGTTGCTACACTTGCTGCATCAGAAGAAAGCTTTGCAAGATGCTTAACATTACGGTATCTCTCGTCTTTTTTTCACTCTTTGATTTAAGTTTTGTAATTTGAATTATATTTTTTATAAACCGCCAATCTGCCCAAACCGCCAAGGCAAATCCGCCATTATTTGCCAACCAAACCGCCGATTTTTGATAAGGAAAATGGCAAATTCTAGTGACACTTTTATCAATCCGCCACCCGCCATACGGTTTCTATTTTTCTCTCAAACCGCACCGACCCGCACCGTGCACACCCCTACCTATAATATATAAGATCCTAGCGTTTACTGACTTTTTGATCACCATTCCTTGCCTGATACATATCTACATCTGGAGAGAACTCTTACGTTGCTCATTAACCTTATGTCGTTCAATGGATTCTTCTCGAAACCACTGCCAACGAGCCTTCACCAATAATGCAGCACCCTAACCGTAGGCGACAGATGTGACAACCTATTCCCAATTAACTGCTCAAGCGGTGAAAAGACCGCTCGAACGGATATGAGGAACTCTCAATATTTGGTTTTACAGACTAAGAGAATAAAGGGACTGCTTGAGCGGTCAAGTTATTGATCGAGCGTAGGGGTGGGAGTATCCAGTATCTTGGTTGCAGCTAGAAAATACTGGGAATTTGAGTTTACAGCTTGAGTGGTGAAACGATTGCTTGAGCGGTCTGCGCGATATCAGCAACTTAAAAGTTATTTTTTGGATCATTTCCTTCACTTTTTGTTTTCCTTTTCCTCTTCCTCTTCTCTTTCTAAATATCTCACTCTTCACTTAGATCCAAGTCTAAACCCCTTGCAAAAAGCGAAGACCACGTAGAGATAACGATCCTCACCGATTGGATTTCATTCTTATGAAGAGTCCTCCTCAAACTTTGCTCATTTTGCTTTCATCCTTGAGGTAAGGTTACTTTAACCTAGCATCTTCTTATTTTGAAATGATTATGTGGTATTATTGTGGCTATGATGCCTCATGAGATGATTTTGTTCACAAATTGATCATTATGTTTAAAATATATGAAGTTTTACTAAAATTTTATTGAGATTTTAAATAAACCCTTATGGAATGTGAATATTGATGTTGAGAATTAGCTCATACTAAGAAAGGGTGTAAAAGCCCCAAATGTGCCCAAACCCTAGGTTTAGGTTTTGAGAAAAAATGATGTTTTGTTGGAAATTGACTTTCAAATCTTGAAATTTGATGATGTTAGACATAAAGTAGTGGATTATGAGATTTGGATTACCTTGTTGATGTATGATGAGTGGAAACTTATGGATTTGGAAAGCTTTTGAGATTATCTCGATTATAATTTATTGTTTCTCTTTATTCTCACAAATTAAATGAATTTTAATTATTTCAGGAAATGCTAATTCATACATTATGTGCTTCACTATTCTATCCCATGAATTCATTAATCCTTTGGAAGGTTTGGAATGATTATAAAAGGGGAAAGTAAATAGCATATGAATCCAGGTAATGAGTTGGTTTTGGGAATAGTGTGTTGGTATTGGTATTGGTGGGGTGAATCAAGATGCCTAACTTATCGCCAAATGAATGTGGAAAAATATATTTGGGTGTCCACTAATCCTGCCGTATTAATAGTTAGTAAAAGTGAAAAAAAGGGGATGATTTTGGGTTTCCATCGCCCGTTGTATTAATAGTCGGCAAATGTGAGAATATTTTTGGTTATAAATCTATGTATATGTATTATTGAGAGGGCAGCTATTAGCACCTACCTAATTTCTTTGGACCCCCACCTTAAACCCTAAATTTTAATAAGATTTCTTTAAACACTCCACTTAATACCAATTTTACCCATATTCATAATATCATAACACCTAAGTGCACACCCACCTAGTTTTCCACACCCTCTCTTCTTCTTTTCTTAGTAAACAATGAACAACTGAGAGAAAATTGAGAATAACAAACGATTGAGAGATGAATCAATTGTCCCTCTCTTCTCCTTCTCTCATAAATGATGGGCTCTTTCTCCTTGTCACCATAAGCAACAGTATCTCAGTCAGAAATCTCATCGGAAATCTCTTCGACGATCTATTTCTTCTTCTCTTAAGTAACCTCCAACTCTCCATCATATGTTTTTTTTATTTATTTTTATTTCGGGGTAAAACCCTCGATATAGGGAGTTGTAGACACCCCATTTTTGACCGTCCTCAAGACTTGGACGTCACCATTTGAACACTCGGTGATTATCCATGTTTGTGTTCGTCTTGAGTTCCCGGAAGCCTTGGCAGCGCGCCTCGTCGCAGGACCTCTCGACTCGACTGTTTTGTGCTTGGTTTGACACCAAACACTTGTGTTTTGCCTTTGAGAGGCAGGGTAGGAGAGAGAAGTTCACTTTCCACTGCGTATGTAACATAAAATTGAAAGGACAATTAACAAAAGGATCAAACATATAAGACTTCTAAAAGCCTCTTACCTCATTCTCATCCATTAGTAGATTGGCAGTCTTCAGGTCTCTGTGGATAATATTATTTTGATGCAAATAGTTCATTCCCTTGGAGATATCAAGTGCTACTTTGAGTAGAACAGGAAGCTTAAATGCACCCTTTTGTTTATGCAGAAAGTTATAAACACTTCCTCTGGACATGAACTCTGATAAGACAGAAACACCAACAGCTGCTTGCAAAGGTGTCAAGTACGAGTATGGAAGCTGGCATATTGAGTCATATCATACAATGTAAAGATGGTTACTATGATGATGATGATACCAACAGAACTACAAACGAGAACAAAACACAGAAAGGCTTACTTCTCCTGTTAAAAGTTCCCATAGCACTATTCCGAAACTGAAAATGTCAGCCTTGTGATCATACGGTTTGTGTTCAATGACCTTCAATGCATAAATACCATTTTATCGACAGAGTTTCTATTACAACAACGAAGGTGCTTTACAAGCACACACAAATCCAAAAAACAAGCAGACAACAGGTTTCCATATATCAAAGATATTTGAAAAACCATGTGGGCCTTAGATTTCTACAAACAGATATTTTAAAGAGAATTATCCGTTGTTGACATGGAATTTATTGATAACAACATTTTTATGACAAGACATGAATAAAGCACATACGACACCAAGAAGGTCACAGCAAATAGAAAATGGAGCTAACCATAACTAAATAAGCCACAATAAATTCAATTTTGGGTACACATACTCAACACCAAAACCATTTATTTACAAGTGTTAAAAATGCTGCAACAATGCTCTGGAACATAAAATATAAAGGTATCATATCATAATCCACTAAAAAAATTAAAAAGAAAATGAAGCAGAAGAAAGAAGAAAAACAAAAAAAGAGGTTCCATTTCAACACAACTTTTAACAGGTCTGGGCACCAAAAATACATGGTGAGACAATCACGGAACAACTTCAATATTGGCCAGCAAGAAAGTCCTAGTAACATGCTTACGTAGCCAAGACCATTAACAGTTCTCGGCACCAACAATGTATGGCAAGATACTAATGAATCATGATACAACTACAATTAGTAGCGACTTTTCAGCAAGGAACTTATAGTAACATAGCCAAAAAAAAAAAACAAAAAGGTTACACATTGGAAGTGACAGAAGTCCAGGCTCAATGTATGAAAACATGCTTACCTCAGGAGCCATCCAACGGTATGTTCCAGTTTCTGCAGTCATCACTCCAGATTGAGCTTGCACTCTTGAAACTCCAAAGTCAGCAACCTTAACAACCTATCCAAGAATTGGCCACTTTCAAATTTAAATAAAATTCAAGAGATTTAGCACAATGTTTCAGTAAAGAATTGGTCACTTTCAAATGATGTCCGCTTGGCCACTTTCAAATGATGTCTGCATGATTTTGACAAATGAACTCACCAAAATATGCAAAACATATTTCCTATGGCCACAACTCAGACAGATGCTACGAATTTTCACAACTGACATTATAATGTCTACATGTAACAAACAATCAACATTACTCAAAACACCAACCGGCCTTTGAATTTTAAGAATTGCCAAATATGAATGTATTCAGACCATTCAAAGGGCAGGTCATATGTATAGCAAAAGCAACTGGTTTATTACTACTGTAATCAATCACTATAGTATTGTATTTTCTTTGAATTTACATATAAGACAGAAAAAGATGGAGCAAAACCTAAACACTGATCTCAACTCTAAAAGAAAAAAAGTATCGAAATTATTACAATGCTACAAAATATATATCATGTTGCGTGATTGGATCACATCTTGCATGCTCTAGTGGTTTGCACAATTGTGGCATGCTTGTTTGCTTTGTTGCTTAGTTTGTGTACCTAATGTGCATTGCATGTTTGTATGCTCTCTTTTATGCCATGTTGCATATTAGCTAACATGCTTAGGTTGCATCGCATTGAACATGCATGCCTTGCCTCTTGAAGTCAAGTGATAGAGGTTGGGCCTTTATGTGTTTAGTTGGTTTGCATTTCATTTGACATGAAAATGCACAACTTGGTCTCTTGGGCCATCACACATTGAAATGCGCGATTGATGGCCCGAGAACCAAGGATCATGTCCCTTTGAGTCATACACATGATAAGGGATAGGGTTGGAGCATACATTGCTTGAAATGCATTGCCATGCCAAGTATTGCCCTCTGCTGCTGTCAAAACAGCTTCTGCAGGAACTTTTGTCCGACCGGCCACATTTAGTGCCGATCGGCCACCATTGTTGGCCGATGGACCAAAGTTGTGGCCGGTGACCATTCTGCATGGCCGGTGGTGTTCTCCTTCAGCCGGTGGTGTTTCCCAGCATCCACGGAGTAAACTCTGAGGCTTTGGCAGTCATCAGAGGAGTAAAGTAGGGAAAACAGAGGCATCTTATGCATGGTGGCGGATTTCCAAGCAAAACTGAGCGCGCACTGCATTGGGCCTTCATCCCGGGACTGTTTATTGCTTAATTAGATTAATTAATTTGCTCAATTAATTTTTTTGGTCTGTAATAATTAATTAGCTAGGATAGTTAATTCATTATTCGAACTGTATTATTCTTTCGGTCCCTCCGGGCGAGGGCGAATCTGTAATAAGTGTGGGTGCGTATGTGTGCATGCCTTCCAATCCCCACTTCTTTCTTCCCTTTTATTTACCTGCTTATGAAGGTAGATTAGGGCATGTTTAAATTAGCATACCTTATGCTATGCATGCGTGCATCCATACATTTGTCTTGCATGCACCGGGCTCGGCGCATCATTCTAACTGCATTTGTATTTCAATTCCAAATTGAATACGTGATTAGTTGTAGCATTTCACATGTCATTATAGATTAGCCGAGCCTATCTTAATCGCATTCTGTATGCGTTGCATTAGCCATTTTAACATGAACTAGGATCACGCATGTTTGCTAACTAGTTTATTATTTTGGCACGAAGTACATTGTAAGTATTTATGCTTTAGCATACCGCATGCGTGTGAATGTTGCCATAACAGCATGATTACCATGAGGCTAGCTGCTTATGTGATCTAACTGCTTGGATGCCTGTGGATGGAGGTTGAATTTCCTAAATTGGAATAATGCATTAAAAACTGTGAGTTTTAAGCCCATTAGATAGTGGCAAAACCATCTTTTCTAAAAGCCCACTTGAGGGTGGCAAAACTTGCATTTTAGCCTACTTGCGAGTAGCAAACCATTTTTAAAACAAACATGAAATGTTTTGTTCCAGTTCAGACGATTTGGTCTATACTTGTTTGCTATGCGCATAACATAGTAATTCTAGGCTAATAACTGGAATAAGAACACATAATGCTTTCAAAACAAGATATCACGGTTAGTAGAGGCCGATCTTTAATCGGGCGAGAGGGGGTGCTCATAGCTGACCTTCCCCAATCGTACCCAAGTTCCCGAGCCGAGGCAACTTTGGTGATGACGGACACGTGGCCTTTGGCACCGAGTCAGGGTTTCCTAAATTCCCCAAAATAAAATATTTAGGTGGCGACTTTGTATCTGGCAAAGCAGTCCATGTTTGGCACTTCTTTCAAAAATATGTTTTTCTCAAAACGATTTGCCGGATTTGGACTCTTTGGTTCAGATTAAGAATTGTGACACAAATCGAGTCCGAATTGTAGCGGGGTCCCTCGCGGACGTGTTACAGGGGTTTTAGAGGAAAAAACCTGCAAAATGGAACCATTCGGTATTCTAGTGCCGAACAAAATGTTTATGTTCAACACTTTATTACTGAACTAAATGTTTCTGTTCAGCACTGTATTATTGAACAGAACCTTAATTGTCGGCAAACCAGTATCGAACTAAAAATAACTCAGAATCGTAAATGCAACCAACCTCATCAAAGTTGTTATCATCTGTGACACCCTGTAGACTGCCCGGAACTCCGCTCCGTGCACGAGGGTGCAAATCGTTGTTCTTAGCTACTACAGTTTGGACTCCTATTGCGGTTCTGAATCTAATCTCACAAAGTGCAATGTAAGACTGATAAATCACCAAAGAGTCCAAATTCGGCAAATCGTTTTGGAAAATCAATTTTAATCAAGAAGTGCCAAGCATAGACTGTTTTGGCAGATTTCAGAGTCGCCACCTAAATATTTTGTTTTGGGAAATTTAGGAAGCCCTGACTCGTGCCTAAGGCCACGTGTCTGTTATCACTAAAGTTGCCTTGGCTCGGGAACTTGGGTACAAGGGGGGAAGGTCATGAAATGAGCACCCCCGCTCGTCCGATCAAAGGATCGGCCTTTACTAACATGATATGTTATTTTTGAAAACACATGTGTTCTTATTCCGGTTTATTAGCTAGCTTACTATGTGATGCACACAGCATACAAGTATAGACTAGATCGCCTAAATTGGAACAAAACATCTCATGTTTGTTTGTTTGAAAATGGTTTGGAGTTGCTACTCACAAGTAGGCTAAGACGCGGATTTTGCCACCCTCAAGTGGGCTTAGAAAACATGATTTTGCCACTTCAAGTGGGTTTAAAACTCACACTTTGATGCATTGCTCCAATTCAAGCAATGAAGCCTTCATCCACAGGCATTCATGCAGTTAAACACTTAAGCAGTTAGCCCCATGGCAAGCATGCTAAACATGGAAATCACTTACACGCATGCAAGGATGCTAAAGCATAAACACTCACAGTGTACTTCAAGCCAAAAAATAAGCTAGTTAGAAATCAACGCATGACCTTAGCTATGTTAAGATGCCTAATGCAACACATGAAAAATGCAATTAAAGATAGGCTCGGCTATTCTAAGATGTCATGTGAATGTAACTTGATAACATGCAGTCAAATTGGTATTGAGATACAATGCAATTTGTATGATGCGCCGAGCCCGGTGCATGCAAAATAGATGAATGAATGAAAACATGCAAGCATAAGTATGCTAATTGAAATATGTCCTAAAACTAACCACTGAAAGCGGATAAGTAAAAGGGAGAAAGAAATGGGGGTTGGAAGACATGCATCACACACACGCATACTTATTACAACAGTTGTGCCCTCTCGACGGAGGGTCCGAATAATAAGCTAATTAGCTAATCTAAGCTAATTAAACTAATTATTACAAAACGAAACTAATTAACCAATCCTAGTTAACTAATTAGTTATTACAACACAAATGAATAGCTAAGTGCATTAACTAATTAAGTACAAAACCAAAGCATTAGCTAGCTAAGAAAAGAAGCTACGTAAAGCAGTAAGAAGAGGTCCTCAGGGCGAGAAGTGCATGCATGCTCGGTCACCTTGTTCAGAAATCCATCACGATGCCCCAACTTGCCTCTGTTTGCATTTGTTCTCAGAACACTGCACAAAGCTCCAGATAGCTTCTACGCCATCATGGAGACCTCCAGGAGCATTGCTGACCACTTTATAGTGGTGTAGACCACCTGTAAACCACTTAAGTATGCTGCTGACCAGAAAAACTGGCTGGCCGACCACTTAATTTGCCAAGCTCCAGTTTTGCTGCAGCAGAGAACAACAATGGGCACGGTAATGTATTTGCAAGATATATGTGCACAACCACTCTCCCCATCATTTCTCAACCTCAAGGGAGTGAGGTACTCGACTCTCGGGGCACCAACCGAGCATCGCAATGCACGATGGCCGAGAAGCCAAGATTGCACGAGTTAATGTGAATGAATGCACAAATAACACTTAAGGGCCTTAACCTCTATCATGCATGATCAAGAGGGTCGGCGACCAAGAAATGAGGCACGTTTTATCACTTCAAGTATGAAACGTCCCTCGTTTCTCGTGTTTGGATCAACGCCCAATCCAAACACAATGCAATGAAACATGATCAACTTAACAAAGCTAATGGCATGCAAACTCAATGCAATGCATGCACATGCAAACAACATGCAAACAATAACATCCAAACAACATACTCAATGGACTTAAACTGAATATAGACAGACCTCAATCATGCCCAAAATAGTGGCCATAATGCTATGAAAGGATGGTATGAAAGGCAAAAAGATGCATGCACATGCATTGGCTCACCAATTACGCATAAGAGCACAACTCTCAAACATGAGCAAGGAGTGACAAATATGGAAGTGTGACAAAAACTACAAGCTCTGAAAACATATATGAAATGATGTCAAACCATTCAAACAACCCAAGTATGTCATGCAAGAGGGCCTAAGGCACAAGGCTACTCAAGGAGACTACACAAGAGGTATGCAATAAATGGCACAAATAATTGAACCAATCATGGACAGAGCTCAAATAGGTCAAAACAATAACCAAAACAGGCTGAGATGGGAGTTCACAAGTCTAGACAAGCATGCATACGCATTGGTCCCCAAACAAGGCAATAATGCACAACCCTTGAAAGCATTCAAATGGTGAAAAGTGGGAACATGGCAATGTTATATGCTCTGAAATAACATGGTAGATGATGCCAAATCATGCACATGTCACAAATGAAGCATGCTAGGAGGCTCAAAGCTTGAAACTAGCAT